AAGGTCTACAGCTAAGCTTCCAGAACTCACTAAGACTCCTACGCTATAGACCTACAGATCGAACCCCTGCTGTCTATGGACCTACGACAGGTCTACCAACTGCCTACGAATACACAGGTCACAGGTTCAATTCTCGGGGTCTACACAGATACTGTACATGGGTAGGGTGAGGTCTAGGGATCGAACCCTGGGTACTGCATCCGCTACTGCTAAAAGGTGAAAACCGTTTCATGTACATCGCTTGTTGATGCTTTGCTGACCCTGCGTTGTCCATTTGAGTCCTTTTCATCACTTGGCGGATCCTTGGCTCCATATACGTTGCTCAACTGAGCATGTATGAACTGTGGAATGCCATTTAGAGCCTCCAGAACCCACTGGTATCGTCCTTTGGAACATCCTTTGAAATTGGAACAATACAGAGAAGATTAGCATGGCCCCAGCGCAAAAAAGAAGAAAAATCAAAATCCAATGGCATAAAAAAACTAACCTGTTTCCAAGTGCCAGGTCATGTGCAAGCTTCCCAAGAAACCTTGTGTGGAATCGGCATCTGATGTACTTCAAGAATGGTGACAGGAGCTCACCTGTTTGTCATACACGGAAGACGGGGAGGGGGCGAATTTCAAACAGGATAAAAAGACAGAACAAAAGGTGGAAACAATAAGTCACTCATTCCCGCTTCTTGACAAACATACTAGACAGCAAGCTGTCCACAAAACAAAACAATGAAGACAATTCTTAGAGCATACTCAGACTAGCAATTTTCTAAACGCATACGACTGCAACCGCGGGCAAACCTGGATGAATAGTAGGAAAAGGTCCCCGGTGTGAGTATGCCCTTAGTCACTGACCTATGTTGCATACTGTAATGGTGCAGACCAGAACAAGAACCGACCTCTCACACAAAGTACAAGATAGCGTAGCGGAAGACTTAGATACCAATGATCTGAACAATCAATATTGCAATGCAGCCCCGAACATACATCATCATGATGACTCCATGGTGTGAAGGGGCCTGGCGCTCACACAGGAAGAATGCGCCAGTCCCCTGCCATACACAGACGAAGAAGAGGGGGGTTGGACGAAGAAGAGGGGAAGATGGGAATGTCGTCAACACCAAGTCTTCGACACAGGCCCAAATAGTCCCTCGTCAAAATGTCTGAATCCCAATATCGAGTCTGGATCCAATGTCGTCAAGTCTCAAGTCACAACTCTCTCTCCCTCCGTCGTAGTCCGCTGATACTGAGAAGTCAGGTGGTGAGAGCGTGAAGAAGAGATGGTAGACTTAGAAGAGGAAGAAGAACTCTCTCTCTCTCTCTCTCTCAGGCTGCCGAATCCTGAAGACTACTACTGCCTCGGCCTCTGACTACCCGTGAAGTGCATGGGAACTCCCTATGTACTACTCGGCCTGCCTCCTGACTGTCTGCAGCTGCAGGGCGGGGCAGTCCAGGAGGCTGCTCTTGCCAATGCCGAAGTGAGCCAGGGCCTGCCGCTGCAGCTCCTGCTGAGGCTGGCATGGGGAACAGGCCAAAAATAACCTGTTCCGAAACCCTGGTTTGGTGCCTGAGTGTTAGGGCAGGTCGATTTTATGAGGGCCCGAAAGTGGCCCTCCGTTTCAGGCTGAAAAGACTCAGGGCCTGAAAGGCCCTGTTTTAGGCTGAAACGACATAGGGCCTGCAGGCCCTCGTTTTT